TTTAGATGTTTGTTCTATATCTGTGAAATATGTCATTGGTATTTTAATAAGGATTGCATTGGATCTATAAATTGCTTTGGGTAGTATGGACATTTTGATCATGTTAATTCTTCCTATCCATGAACACGATAAATGCTTTCATTTATTTCTGTCTTCCTTCATTTCTTCAGTGTTGTATAGTTTTCTGCGTACAGGTCTTTTACCTCTTTGGTTAAGTTTATTCCTAGGTACTTTATTTTTATTGGTGCTATAGCAACAAGCACTCAGGCCTGTGCAATACTGGGCCAGGGCCGAGCCTACTGGGAGCGTGGCTATTGTGTCTGTTCACACTGCCGCCACTCGGGGAACTCGTCTCCCTGAGCAAGATGGCAGCTGCAGAATGGGATGTGAGTCAGCACCTAAACACTGCCATCCACTTTCTCAGTTATTTCCCCCAAGCCTCATTCTCTTGTCTTTCCTCAGGCAGCTCTAGTCCACTCTAACCACCCCCCACCACCTGCCGTAGCCCAGGGTAAGTGGCTTCAAGTGAAAATATGTGCATTGGCCCTTTAAACAGCTCTTTGCACCTCCAGCCACCTGTCTTAGGCAGAGAGCACCCTGCCACTTTTCACAGCTGGCTGTTATCTGTGTACTTTTGGGCTCTGGTGCTGTAGACTGGGGATCTCTGCTTATTATTTAGACCCCACTCATCTCAGGGGAATCCAACTGGCGTTTCTATATCCTTCTGGCGCTGCCACCCTTGGGTACCCCACCCGCGGGTGCCCCGTCCGCCTTCTGGAGCCTCTACTGCATTCTTTACCAGTTGTTCTGAAGCCAATTCCTCTGTCTCTTTGAGGTTTTAAGGCTCCTCTCTCACTATTGTTCAGTGTTTTCCAGGTGATTACTCCATAATTTAGTTGTAATTCCAGGTTGGTCCCGGGAGGAGGTCAGTGTGATGTCCACTAACTCCTCTGCCATCTTGAAGTCTCCCCTGCTCCCTTATTCTTTACCATAGTAGCTACAGATTTATCAAGTTTATTGATTTTATCTATTGTCTATTTTTATTATCTCTATATTCGTTTCTCTGAAGTCTACTTTGATATTAATATAGCCACTCGGCTTATTTTTATTACTATTTGCATAGTATATTTTTTCAATCCCTTTACACTGTCATTATCTTTGTATTTAAAATATGCTTCTTGTAGACAGCATAAAGTTGGCTCTTCTTTTTTATACCATCTAACATTCTCTGTCCTTTCATAGGAGTGTAATTATGAAGTCCAGTGGATCAAATTTGCTCCATGAAAACAAGGTGTACTCATGAAGTCAAGAATTTGACTTAATATTTATCCAAAAGAATGGATACTTTGTAAATTGGCACATTGTATATAAGTATTTACATAATTGCATTTCAATAAATTAAGATAGTATCTGCTGAAACGTAGGTAGTACCAAGAACCATCATAAATTATACATTTTGTAAAATCACCAACCAGTTTTTTCTAACTCTATAATTCAGAGGTTATACATTATAATAAGATTTTCTTCAATAATTATAATGGCATTATTTTAAAATAATAATGCATTGAAAATAACTGTTATTTGAAGTCTTCTGTTATTTAGATATTTGGGTGAATGAGCTCCTCTGTGGCCAAAAATCTTTGCCAGTGTCATTTATGGAATAAACAATTTTTTTCACATTAATATTCCATGACTTCTTATTTATACATTAAACTTTATTCCTGAGTTCTTTATAATGTTCTGGTGATATTTGTGTCCAATTTTGTTCTGGCACCACACTATTTCAATTCTTATAGCTTTGTAATATCTTTTCATATTAAGAAAAAGCGTTTTCATTCGGTTTTTGGGGGGTTTTGGAGGGGTTTTTTTTACCATAGCTTAAAATTTTATTTATTTTTTTAATTTTATTTTAATTTATTTTTTTCAAATACATTTGTCTCTGCCTTCCCCCTTACACCCTCCCCAGTTTTTTGTTTTTTAATTGGCTTTGGATATTTTTATCTTACTACTCCTCTGGAATAAGTTTAACTGTTTTTCTTTCTTCAGAGAAAAAAAGTCATTGAGCTTTTCATTGAAGTAACATTAAAATACTGAATATAAAAATAAATGAAATGCTAAATACATTGTAAGAATTGACATCTTTTAAATGTTAAGTATTCACATCCAATGGCAAGGCATGTTTTTTTCAAATATTCAAGTCATCTTTTATATCACTTATCAATATTTTGTTATTTTACTTCTCTAGGTTTTAAGTCATTTGTAACAAGCTTGCACATGTCTAGATTATGCTTTGTCGGTATTGGGAATAGCATTATTTCTGTTATAGTTTCCAGTTGTTCATATCTGGCATATAGAAAAGCTATTGATTTATATAGATTTATTTTTTATCATAAATAGAATAAATCTTGGTTATTGAAAAACTTATTTATAAATGTAATCTTATTCATTCAATACTTATTGAACATTCCTCTGTGCTACATACTATGGGTTGTCACCCACGTCACTATATTCTTATCCATCACATTTTTTTTTGCTGCACATTTGCAAACCATGTGTTTTTAAAGTAAGCTCTAAAATTTTCTACAAGATCAAGAGCCAATCTCTTATGGCCCTTTTGGGACCTGTGCCAGGTCATTTTCTCCCATACATCCTCTGTCCCATCTATTCAGACAGGCACTGTGATTCTTTCATGACTTAAGTATGCATTTCTGCATATTTGTGATGCTCTTTCCTATTTGATTACTGGGGAATTCTTACTTATTATTTAAAGAGCAACCGAAATGCCACTTCCCTAACCACATGCTCTGCCACAATTACTTTCACACTCACTTGTAATACAATAGCAGTATATATGTACCTCTGTTATAACACAGGTCGCATCATTTTTTTTTTTCATGCCTCTGTCTCCCTTCAGGAGGCTGTGACTTCCTTCTTACTCATCTTTGTATCCTCAACAGTCAATATATTTTCATAGAATAAATAAATGGGATAAATAGTCAATTCATTATTTCTGCAATTTAAATAAAAATCAGTGATCTATTGTCTGTGGAACCTACCATTGTTTCCTAATGAGAATTGTGGCATTCTCCTATTTATATTCATTTGAGACTACTGACATTCTATATGACTTCTAAAAGATTATATTAATAGTTATAAGATCACAGCTAAAATCTTTTCACTGGTCTTTAATGCAGTGCATCTGGAGCTAGAATTTAAATTATTTTGGATAAGAGCACTATGTGGCTCCTAATACCCTCCTTTTCCCATCTTTGGCGTAAGTTTCTTATTTACAATGTTGAAAGTTTCCCTTTTTAAATAGGGACACCATCTTACTTGCAGTGAAATGGAAGGAAAGTGGAAAATCAAATCTATTAATTCAAGTATTTATTCAGTCTATTTTTATTCAAGTGTAATTAAGAAGATTACAGTCTGGTTGAGGCAGTAGGTACAAACACAAAAGTAACAGCAGAGTGTGACAACAGCTAAACCAAAGGTATAGAGATGGTGCCTTGGGAGAACAAAGGAGAGACAGATTCCCAGCAGGAAAAATAAAAGGGATTCTTAGAGGAGACAGATTAGGCTGAGGTTTGTAGAATGGGGAAAGACAAGAAGAAGAGTACTTCAACCAAGAGCATAGCCTTTCTGAACTGCAATTTTAAACTATAAAAGAAATTCTATTAACAAGGATTTTTGTTGATTAATTAGATGGTAGTCAAATGACATCTCAGGAGAAATCAGATGTTCTACCAATATTTTCTGTTTTAGTAAATAACACTTTTAACTGTTGGTTGGAGTGCAGGCAGCTGACGGTAGGGTGAGGGTGAGGCTGGTCACTTGGGAGGGGCGGGCCTGAGGAGATGGGGGCTGCAGGAGACTGTACAGAGGTGCTCTGGTATCCAGGGGCACCCTGGGGACTTCAACCAGCTCCCCAAGATGTGTGGTGCCATGTCCAGCAACCAGAGGCAGACTGAGGGCTGCAGGGCATCTCAAGGCTTCCTGATGGCAGGTCCTGCAGCAACCCCGCCCCATATGGTAGACAGTCAGGAGGGGCGGGGGAGTCTCCCCCATTGGTCAAGATGGCTCCTGAGGGATGGTTATTACACTAAGCACCCAAAAACTAGGAAGACGAATGAGTAGGGCCTGAGCTGCCAAAAAGCTAGAAAGGTGAATGGATAGGGCTCTTGCATGCCAAAAATGGCAAGATATTTGTGTAGGGGAAAAGAAGCCTTCCCCTCCTGTCCCTATAAGAACCACAGGCTTGAGGAGGAAGGGGCATGGTCTTTGAGAGGGAGTCTGTCATTCTCCCAAGTCATGGCACCTGAATGAACCTCTTTTGTATCAACACTTGTCTCACGATGGCTTTCGTCATGGTAGGCAGCCAAACCTGTGTTTTGGTTTGATAACCACCCAACTACCCATCTTAAAATTTATTCTTGACCTTCCTCTTCCCCTTATCCCCAGTGTACAGTCAATTATCAAGACTTGTTCATTCTAACTGCTGAACATCTCTCAAATTTGCCCATTTTCCATTATAACCATTGCCACCATCCAAAGTCACCTCTTTCTCCTGAACTGCTGACATCGCTGCCTAACCAACCCCTGCCCTCCACCCCCTGACTGCAGCCACTCCTGTGGATTCCAAATCATTTCCCACACTGTAACCAGGGCTGTTTTTCGTAAAAAGCAAATCATATCCTGCCTTAGTTTAAAACCTTTCTGTGGTTTCCTGTCACCTTTAAAAGTAATCCATATCCCATGGTTTACCAGGCCCTCTACAGTCCGGCCCTCACCGGTCTTCAGTGGGCCATCCACAGTGGGCCACTGTTTTTTCTTCTTTGTATGCCTCTGTTCTGTTTTTGTTTTTTTGTGAGTGAACATATTATTTAAATATGTTAATGGTTTGAGAGTCAGTGAGTAATAGTGGAAAGATCCTATGATTTAGACTCAAACAAACCCTAGCTTCATATCAAGGTTCTGTTATTTAAAATGTGTGCTATCTAATCTTTTTGTAGTTCATAAGTGTGATGATTGTGTAGTCGCACTCTTGTGTGAGATGTACCTTCCTCAAAGCTTGTTACAACATTGGCACATTACCTGACTGATGTGGAAAAAAAGTGTGTGAACTTGGACAAGTTCCTGAGTTTTATGGCCTCCTGTTTCTCATCTGTAAAATGGGAGTAATAATCATCCCTACATTGTTGTAAAGATTAATGAGGTAATGTATGTGAAGAAGAGTTCTGTAAACTATAACACATGCAAATGTTATTTATAATAATATCATAATTAATAAGAAACATGTACCATCAAGTAAATAAATACAACATTGCTTTGAATATTGAAGAGTTAGTATGAGCTAATACCTGGAAACAGCCCAATATCACATACAGAAAAAAAAATTTTAATGAATTACGTTTAATACACAGTTCAAAAGGGATAAGGCAGTCCAAGGCAATGGAAAAACTGAATGAAACAACTAAAGATTTAAAGAGTGAGCAGCAAGAAAAGTTGATCTTTTACTTCTAAAGAACCTGGTATTTTATTTTCTTTCCTAATGTTTACTGTTTCATGACTTACTTGCAATATAACACATGACTGATATTTTGTAAATATTTCCAAATATTTTAATATTGTCAATGTTTCACACAGATTATTATATTCCTTTAAATAGGCTCTTTCAAAAGATGTGCTGCATTTCTGTAATTAAATAATACTCATGAACCTTTTTTCTCTGAAGAACTATATCTCCAATTTAATAATGAATTTCAGTGAGGAAAAATAGGATTTTTTAATGGAAATTAATTTTATGACTTAAAAAGAAAACAAAAGCATTTATTTCATTAAACAAGAGACAAGTGTAGTTGAAAAACCTTTTCTCTGTGTGACATGAATACTAAGCAGGTTGAACTGATGAAGCAGCATGTAGTTTGCTCCATTGCTTTTCCTCTTTTATATTCTCTCTGCCTTTAATTCAGGTGACAGAGGGAAGCTGAGCTTGACCATTTTTCATACACATTTCCGTTGCACAGAGGGCTTTTTCAGCTGCAGTGAAGGAGCTCCTCTACTGCCATCTAGTGCAATTAGGAAGGGATTCATCGGTTTGATCAGGTGAGCCAGTTTGCTTTTAGTGCAAAGTGTGGGATGATGGGAAACGGAAGGGTCGGGGGCAGAAAGTTAAAACTTTTTGAAATAGTTTTAAAATAGTTATATTAATTAGAGAGACGTGCTGAGTCACAGACATATTATAGGCTTATGAGCTGGATAATTCAGGGAAAGTTGCGGGAAATCAGACATTGGAGACAGTGGAACAACTAGATTCTTTAAGCTTGTGAAAGATGGTCATGATGTTCACGTAAAGAGCTCAGCTGAAAGCAAAGGAGAATGATTGCAATTACACACTTGCCGAATCCGTTTCTCTGGAGACAGTATATCTTTTTTAGGATCTCTCCACTCAGCAACATTACGACAGCTGCCAACAAGAAAAGCCCGCCTCTCCTTTCTCCCAATCCTCCAGCTACTGTAAAAGCCCCTCCCAGGACAAGGCTCATGCACCCCATTCTTTGCTAGAAGCTGGCATCAATGATCTGTACTAAAATTGTTTTTACTGTGTTGTACACATGAAAAGAATATGATATTGCATGTAAACTATAATTGAAAAATAACTTTTAATGTTTTAAAAAGTTACCAATCATCAGGGTCTTTTGCCTTTTTTTTTATAGGAGGCACTCAAATACTCTATAAAGACACAATGGGACTTCAGGTTGGAGACTGGTGATGGGGGTTGGGGTTGGTAGTCTTCCATTTCTTAAATTTGTCCACATAAACATTTAAAATCATACTCTATTAAGAAACCTGGGTGTCATCTTTGATATTTTCTTCTCCATCATGCTTCCACCACTCATGCACCACAACCACACATGCATGTGCACACATACACGTACATATGTGTAAATCCAAAAAACTGTAAATAATGTGGATTCTAGTTTCTAAAGTTTCTCAAATCCATCCACTCATCTCTGGTACAACTGACATCACACTAGTACAATCATCATTTACCCAACTAACATCTACCCACTGCCAATATTCATCTGGCAGCTAGAATAATCTTTTTTAAATAAACAAATTCAATAATGTTATTATCCTGCTTGATACTCTTGCATGGCTCTCTTTTGATTTTAAAATAAATTCCAGACATTTCAATGTGACCTTCAAGTCCCTGCATGATCTGGCCTCGGCCCAGCTTCCCAAACTGATCTCTCACCAGTCTCTTCCTTCTTGTCCTGTATCAGAACCATCAGACTGCTCCCATTTTCTCCAAAGGATCAAGCTTCTTGTCACCCCAGGGCCTTTGTATATGCTGTTGCCTATGATTATTCTTTGTTCTCCTGGCACTTTGCTCTTTTTTATTGTTGCACTTATTACAAATCATTTGTGTGAATCATTATTTAATATCTATCTTTAAGCCCAAATTTTAAATTCTATGAAGTCAGATACCAAGTCTGTCTAATTCATTTCTATACCTAGGCCAAAATAGGCAATTAAAAATTGCTGAATGAATTAATGAGTTAATTTTTGTCTCCTATGATTTCTGGTTGCTTTACATTTGCTCCATGATTGACCATAAGCCCCTCAAAGACAGTCATCATATTTTTAATGAGACCTAATGTTGGAAGTAGTTGCAGAGCTGATTCAGACATGATCTTAAACCTAGAAGAGATAGAGCATGGAAACACATACCATACAACATTTGAAATTTGTTGTATGGTATGTGTTGTATGGTATGGAAATTTTATAATGTGCAAAATGAACACAATTCTTTGGAAACGCAGAGAAGAAAGGGGTTAAGTCAGTTTGATTGAATCTAGGTAGATATGTCAGAGAAGATGAAATTGAAGTTGAAGTTTTATAGGACAAATAAGAGTTCCCAAGAAATAAATGGGAAGATGATCAAGAGATCGAGGTCAGAAAAGTAAGAAAGATGCAATGGTTTTAATATAAGGAAAGGAGGAAGTTGCTATCTATTTCTTAGAACCTCTGTCACAGTTATTAAATGTATACAATAAACACTGAATTAACATTTGTGATTTGACTTTTGAAGAACAATGAGAAATGTGGAAATAACAATATGAATGGTATCTTGCTCGGTAAATTCAGAATAAGCCCCTAAATAGATTAGCTTTCTTCCATTTTCAACATTCAACAAACTTGGAATAATTATATTTGATAGTACTTCAAGGAAACACCACTGAGAATGTCATTTCTGGGACTCCCCACATGTTTGGTCAGACCAGCTTCTATTTGAAAGCTCTCTGAAAAAGTGTTCTGAGTTCCAGCTGAAGGTTTACTCATAAAATTAAACTTAAGTTTTGACTTAAATAACAGTATTCTCTAGAAATATTTTCAGTCTGAGACTACAGAATTTCCTGTGCTTTTGGCCTGAGAAAATGATAGGGTGACATTCTTTTAACTCAATGCTGACACTTCTAAACAAATCTTCAATCACTCTCCTTTGAAAACCAAGACATGTACCTTACAACACCTTCTATTGATCCCTGGCATGCTTTAATCCAAGAATAATAAATATCAGATTTCTCTGCTTTAATGGTTTTTTCCTGAATCAAAACGTAGAGACATAACCAATTAATTATCACTTCAAAAAAATCTTGTCTCACCCTAAATCTTTGTTTCTTGGCATTAAGTTTCAGGAAGTCAATCCCTCACTGTTTCTTCAATTTTTGGAGAATTGAAAAAGTTAACAGAGGGTGTAAAGTTATTTATATTTCAAAAAGAAGAGAAATTTTTATTCTATTTTTGAATTCTCAATTGTCTAAGTAAGACACAAGGAAAATTATTGAATTGCTCCTTGTGAAAAAAATGGAAGGGAATAAAAGGTGTTTTAAGGTTCTCTCTCCAGAAACAGGTGAGGATCAGGAGTAGGTAAGGATAGAAGTTTGATGCTTTGCTTATATAAGATTTTAAGTAGACAGTACGTAATTAAAAGTCTCAATTACAGGCATCTTAGGTAAATACCTTCTACTATTTCATATTAAGACTCATTTTCTTGTATGGTTTGGTTTATGCTTCAAAGTTTCCTGCTAATATTACCACTTTATTATACACTATTACATTAATGTTTTCTTTATGTCTGTGTTCAAGACTTATTTTTCTGTGCTTAAGAACCTTTGGGTAGGAGTCGTCATTCCTGCTCTGATATTGAAGTGCACTGCCTTTCAACAGAAATGTGTCTTTTTTCCATCATTGAATGGGTCTCAAGGAAGAATTGGGGAAGTCTGGAGCCCTCCAGGACTGAAGTAGTGGCTTAGCACCAAAATTAGTCTGAGTGTCACAGTCAGGGGTTTTAGGGCCTGCTCCACCCCACTGGCTGTGGAGCTTAGAACAATCCACTTGGAAATGGAGGCTGGAGAAGGAGAGGACAGTCCCAAGGCCCCTTCTCACCTCAAACTACCAGGCAGTGCTTCCCATGTTTCAGCTAGAAAATACTTTTATATTCAAGATTTATTGTTTAGCTGAAACCCATGGTGAACGTAAAGAAATATTTTAACGATTTAAGAAGCTATTCAGTTGTCATAAAAAAGTAATTTTGTTTCTTCCAAACCTCCAGATTATTATGGAGACTTCTATGCTGGGTCTTATTTTAAAAAGATATTATGTACACCCAGACTGACATAGCCATGAGGAATTGTAGAAATTTTAATATCTGATGATGTAAATGAGTCTAAAATTTTCTTATTTAAAACCGTCAGATGACTTTCAAATGGGTAACATTAGATCACTGTCAGAAATGTTCAATATTTTCTCATTTATATACAATTGTTTCTCATAGAGGAAAACTGCAATCTAGCTTCTTAGGTTATATGGCCATTTTCCACTTTGCCCCCAAGCTTGCTACCAAACTTGTCCCAAATGCAAGAGAATAAAATTAAATAATGTCTTGTCTGTGTTTCTGTGTGTATGAGTGTGTGTGTAGGTGTGAGAGAGTGCAGAAAGTTAAGAAAATATCCTGAAAGGCATATTTTAAAAATGAAAATTTTCCCGAAAGCTATATGAGTTTTCTTTAAATCACACATATAAGGATGATATTGAAAT